GCCATGTCCCCATCTCTGTGCCCCCCACTCACATTCCCATCCCTGTGCCCCCCACTCACATTCCCATCCCAATAATCTCTGCCACGTCCCCATCTCTGTGCCCCCCACTCACATTCCCATCCCAATAATCTCTGCCACGTCCCCATCTCTGTGCCCCCCACTCACATTCCCATCCCAATAATCTCTGCCACGTCCCCATCTCTGTGCCCCCCACTCACATTCCCATCTCAATGACCTCTGCCATGTCCCCATCCCTGTGCCCCCCACTCACATCCCCATCTCTGTGCCCCCCACTCACGTTCCCATCCCTGTGCCCCCCACTCACATTCCCATCCCTGTGCCCCCCACTCACATTCCCATCTCAATAATCTCTGCCACTTCCCCATCCCAGTGCCCCCCACCCACACTCCCTACCCAATGATCTCTGCCACCTTCCTGTCCCTGTGCCCCTCACCACATTCCTGCACCCTGTGCCACGTTCCACACCCATCCCTGTCCCTGTGCCCCCTGCCACATCCCCAGCCCCTGTCCCCTTGCCCCACACTCACATTGTGCAGCCCCTTGTGGAACACCACATCCCTGTCCCCGATGGACTTGACGCCCTGCAGGACGTAGGAGCCACCAAAACGAGAATGCCTGGGCAGGTGACAGGTGACAGTGGCTGAGTGATGCTGTCCCCACTTTGGGGGTCCCATCCTGCCACGGGGGTGCCCCCATCTCACCTGGACGTGCGCTGCAGTGCCCGGCTTCTCTTCTCTGCCATCTCCCTCTGCCTCAAGCTCTCCAGCTCCCGCGTGTCCTCCCCGTGCTCAGCCCCTGCTGTCCCCCGTCCCAGCGCTGCCAGCTCCTCTGGGCTCTGCAGGCAGCTCTGTCAGCACCATGGGGGCTCTGCCACCCTGCCCTGCCACCCCAGGCCCAGCTCACCTGGTCACGGAACATCAGGGAGATGATCTCCAGGACGTGCAGAGCCCACTGCTGCTCCACCTGGGCGCTGGCCAGGAATTTGAGCAGGTCGTCCATCCCGCTGATGTGCAGAGCCCACAGCACCCGGTCGTGCACGCTGGCATCACCATCCACGCCCTGCTGGGGATGGTGGAGGGGTGTCTGTCAGAATTCAGGACATCCCTCCAGGTGTCCAGAGTTGCCAGGGGGGCTTGGAGACCCTGGCACGCAGCCCAGAGCACCTGAGGGTTTGATTTTCACCCGTGTTGCAAATTACCAGCTTTGTATGAGGACCTAAAAGTCACAGAGGTTTAAATAGTTTAATAATAAATTTATCACAGGGTGAAAATGGAGATTTTAGGATTTTTGGAATGGGGGGTTTGGGGATAAGATGGAGGAATTTGGACGTATCCATCCTTTCTTCTTCTTGGTCTCCATTTTCTGCTGTGATGGTGGCACTTTGGGATTGGTTTAGAGTAGAAGTGCACTGTTCTAACATAGGTGATAGGTATTGGGAAGTAATTGTAAATATTGTACATGTAATTTTTAGTATAAAAAACTAACACCACCCCAAGGGCTGGAAACAATTCCCAGCTTTGTGTGAAGAGTTACAAGCCACAAGAGTTTGAGTAGAATTATAGTGAATTTGTCACAGGGTGAAAATGTAGAATTTTGGGGTTTTTAGAATGGGAGTTCAGGAGGCAAGATGGAGGAATGTGGGCATGTCCTGTCCTTCTTCTTCTTGGTCTCCATTTTCTGCTGTGATGTTGGCACTTTGGGATTGGTTTAGAATAGAAGTGCACTGTTTAACATAGGTGATAGGTATTGGAAAATAATTGTAAACATGTTATAAGTAGTTTGTAGTATAAAAGGACAACACCACCCTGAGGGCAGTCAGAGTGCTGCTGGCTGCCCTGCTGAGCTGACCTCAGCCAGAAAGAAAATTTTATAGATAAGAATTAACAAACAACTTCAAGACCAGAAACTGAAGAGCTCTGACTATTTCTCAGACACACAGGCCGAAACAGAGACATCCTACACACCTCGGGGCTGCAATTAAGAACCATCAACCCGAGAGGTGTCAGGGTCCCCACGGAACCACTGAGGCTGTCAGGGAGGCAGGGCAGGGCCCTGTCATGGTACCTGCTCCTCTGTGGGGTCGGGGGGCACGTGCAGCACGTTGCGCACCAGCAGCAGGATCCTCTCGATCAGCAGCGTGTCCTCCTCCTGCCGCTGCTCCCAGTCCTGGGGGGACACAGCTGTCAGGGCCCCCACAGCCCCACGGGGGTCCCTGGCAGGGAGGGACCCCATAGCCCTGCAGGGTGGACCCTACAGCCCCCAGGAACCCGGGGCAGGGACAGACCCAAAACCCCTGAGGAGCCCCAATAGGGACAGACCCCAAAACCCCTGAGGGACCCCCAATAGGGACAGACCCCACAGCCCCTGAGGGACCCCCAATAGGGACAGACCCCACAACCCCTGAGGAGCCCCAATAGGGACAGACCCCAAAACCCCTGAGGGATGCCCAATAGGGACAGACCCCACAGCCCCCAGGGACCCCCAAAAGGAACAGATAGACAGACCCCCACAGCCCCTGAGGGACCCCCAATAGGGACAGACCCCACAGCCCCTGAGGAGCCCCAATAGGGACAGACAGACAGACCCCACAGCCCCTGAGGGACCCCCAGGAGGGGCAGGCCCTAAGGAACCCCAGTAGGAACAGACCCCATAACCCCTGGGAGAACCCAGCAGGGACAGACCCCACAGCCCCTGAGGAGCCCCAATAGGGACAGACCCCACAGCCCCTGAGGAGCCCCAATAGGGACAGACCCCACAGCCCCTGAGGGACCCCCAGGAGGGGTAGACCCTGAGGAACCCCAGCAGGGACAGATCCCACAGGCCCTGAGGACAGACCCTGGAGCCCCCTGGTAATTCCAAGACCCTGCAGCCCCCACAGGACTCCCCCAGCAAGGACAGCCCCCACAGCCCCTGAGGGACCCCCGCCAGGACAGCCCCCCAAGGGGACTCACCAGCTGCAGGAGGTTGTAGAGCTTCTCACTGAGCACCCCAAACACCTTCTCGTTGGCAAAAGCCTGCAGAGACCCCACGTGAGCAAGGGAATTGGGCAAAGCCCCCTGCCCACAAACACATCCCCGGGCAAAACTCACCTCCTTGTAGGCCTGCAGGTAGGACAGCACCTGCAGAAAGTGGTGACGGGAGCTGGCATCAGCTGGCACCTTCCCAAAGCACAGCAGGGCCGGCTGGGTCAGGTTCACCATCAACCTGGGAGGGAGTGGAGGGCTGTGAGAGACCCCTGCCCACCGAGGAGCCCCCACAGGGCCACCCCTGACCCCAAGCCCGCCCCTCCATACCTGATGACAGCATCAAAGAGCACCTTCTCCTGCGGGTACTGCACCAGGATGGGCAGGAGATCGTTCTGCAGGATTTGGGCTGCCCCCAGCTGCTGCCGCACATCCCGGGTCTCATCCTCGTGGCGCAGGTACCGGATCAGGTCCTTGACGCTCTCTGGGGGCACGGAGCCGTCAGTCCCCGCCGTTCCCGGTGTCCCCCCCGCCCCGGTGCCCACCTACCCAGGCAGTCGGGCTCCCGGTGGTACACGTCGCCCTCCAGGTAGCCCAGGGCGCTGCAGGTGGCCAGGAGCTCGCAGTTCATCATGTACCAGTCCATGCAGCGCGGGGCTGCGCACCGGATCGGTACCGGGGGCCACCTGCGGGCCACCGTCAGCATCGGGGACCCCCGGTGCGGTTCCCCCACCCGTTCTGGGCTCCCCCGGTACCGGCAGATCCCGGGGCACTCTCCGGTCCCAGTTTGCCCAACACCGATGAACCTCCCAGGTTTGGTCCCGCTCGGTACCGGAGCCCACCGGTCCCACAGCAACCCCCAGGCTCCGGTACCACCTCGATCCCAGCGCATCTCCCGGTCCGGTCCACCCCAATACCGGAGCATCCCGCAGCCCCGGCGCACCCCAAGCCCGGTTCCTCCCATTCTATATCACCCCCCCCAGTTTGGGTTCCCCCCCAGTCACGGACTAAACCCCGGTCCCAGTCGGTCCCGGTGCGTTCTCGGTCCCGGAGCATTCCTGACCCCCCCCCCCCCCCGCCCCATCCCGGATCTCAGCCCCCAGCTTCCCCCAGACCCCCCTGATCCCGGAGCATCCGGAGGTCCCGGTTCCCCTAATCCCGTATCAACCCCCGGCCCGTTCCCGAACCACCCCCGGTTTCGGTGACCCCGGATCACCCCCAGTCCCCTTTCCCGGGCCATCCCGGGACATTCCCCGCTCCCGCACCCCTCGATCCCGCTCCCCCCGGTGCCGCTCACCGCCGCCCCGTCCCCGCCGCCCTCACGGCCGCGCTCCCGGTCCCGGCGCGGGGGCGGCGTTACACAACCGCCCCAGTTCCCGCGGGCCGAGGCCCCGCCCCGCCGCACCCTTCAAGCGGCAACACCCCCTGAGCAGCCCGGCGGCCCCTCTGGTGCCCCCCGCTCCGCGCACCCCCCCTTCGCCCACCACGGGCACAAACCGGCGGCTCGGTGCCTCGGGGTGCCCCCAATCCCCCGGCCCTCGCCCCCCGGCCCGCGGAGCTGAGGGGTGGAAGAGGGGAGGGGCTCATTGCGGGGAAGGGACGCGGCGGCGGCGTTGCCCTTTTAAGAACGGTGCTGGCTGGGCGGGGCCTGCCCGGGGCGCGGGAACGGGCGGCCCCTCCCGCCGCCCGCCGGGCGTGCTCCGGTGTCCCCGCCCTCCCATTCTCGGTCCCACCCGATTCCCGGTGCCGGGCACGGCCGCGAGCGGTTACCAAAATAAAAGAGCAGGTTTAATTCACCGAACACAGAAGTCCCGCCGCGGCGGGGCGGGGGGGGGCGGCCCCGGCCCGGTACGGGCGGCCCCGGGCAGCCCGGTCGGCCGGTTCCCGGCAGCAGCGGGGCCCCGCCGCCGCCCGCCCGCCGCGCCGCGCCGCACACACACGCACCACACGCACCGCGGCGGCCCCGTCACAGCAAAGCAGCGGCGGGCGCGGGGCCGCGCCCCGGGACGGGCCCCGTTACAGCCCCTGCGTCTTCAGCTCCAGCGGCTCTGCCGGCGGCTCGGGCGGCGGCTCGGCGGCGGCGACGGCGGCGGCGGTGACGGCGGTGGGGGCGGGCGGCTCTCCCTTGAGGGCGGCCAGGCGCTCGGCCAGGCTGCGCGGCCCGCGGGCACAACGCGAACTCGTAGAGCACCGCGCCCAGCGCCGCGCCCAGCAGCGGGCCCGCCCAGTACACCTGCGGGGGGGGGCGGCGTGGGCACCGGGACCGGGGCACCCCCGGCTCCCCGCCCTCCGGGGGGGACACGGTACCCACCCCCGCTGATGCCCGGGCGCCGGCCCATTCGGGGCCACCCGTGTCCCGGTGAGCGGGGACGGCCCGTGTCCCCCTCCCCGGGATGTCTCCGGGGGGGGCAGAACCCGTCTCCCGCTCCCCGGGATGTCCCCGGTGGGGCAGGACCCGTCTCCCGCTCCCGGGATGTCCCCGGTGGGGCAGGACCCGTCTCCCGCTCCCCGGGATATCCCCGGTGGGGCAGGACCCGTCTCCTGCTCCCGGGATGTCCCCGGTGGGGCAGGACCCCTCTCCCGTACCCCGGGATGTCCCCGGTGGAGCAGGACCCGTCTCCCGCTCCCCGGGATATCCCCGGTGGGGCAGGACCCGTCTCCCGCTCCCCGGGATGTCGAGGGGGGCAGGACCCCTCTCCCGCTCCCGGGATGTCCCCGGTGGGGCAGGACCCGTCTCCCGCTCCCCGGGATATCCCCGGTGGGGCAGGACCAATCTCCCGCTCCCGGGATATCCCCGGTGGGGCAGGATCCGTCTCCCGCTCCCGGGATGTCGAGGGGGGTACCCAGCACCCTGGGGTGCTGCTGTCACCGTGGTGACACCGGCAGCCACCCGCCTTCAGCGGGGACACAGCGGCTGGGGCAGGACAAGCGGGGAGGGACTGGGGGGGGGGGGCCCGGCGCGGGTTTGGGGGGTCCCCGTCCGTCCCCCCCACTTACCCAGTGGTTGGCGAAGTTGCGGGTGATGACGGCGGGGGCGAAGGAGCGAGCGGGGTTCATGCTGGCACCCGTGTAGTGGATCTGCGGGGGGATTGGGCAGTGGGGGGGCTGCACAGCTGCCCCCCGACCCCTTCCCAGCCCCCGCGGGTCCCCGCCGCCGCCCTTACCCCGAAGAGGTGGCCGAGGGCGAGGGAGAAGCCGACGGGCACGGCGGCCATGGCCGGGCGCCCGTCGTGACGGTCGTCGAAGCTGGCGAAGACGCAGAGGACGAACTGGGCGGTCAGGAGCAGCTCCACCACCGTGCCCTGGCCCGGGCCCACGCCGGGGTGCAGCTGCGTGGGGAGAGGGCTCAGCACCCCGAAGAGTTGTTCCCCCATTCCCCCCCCCGCCCCAGCACCCCAAATCCTCCCTCGTTATCTTTCCACACCCCAAAATTCCACTGTACCATAAAACTTTCCTCATCTCCAAATTCCTCTGGGGTGCCCAGCCCCCATTGCTGTCCCACATCAATCCGAACCCTAAAACATCTTCTGGACTCCCCAATCCACCCTCAAACACCTCTGAACCCCCAGAACTCCCATTACAGCCCCATGGTACCCCAAAACACCTCCTGGACCCCCCCCCCCAGTTCTCCCAAACCACCTCCTGGATTCCCCCAATTCCCCCAAACCACCTTCTGGACCCCCAAATTCCCCCAAAACACCTTCTGGACCCCCAAATTCCCCCCAAAACACCTCCTGGACCCCCTCAATTCCCCCAGACCTCTCTGAACCCCTCATCCCCCCATTTCAGTCCCATGGTACCCCAGATCCCAAAACAACCCCTGAACTCCCCCCATCCTTCCAAATCCCCATTACAGCCCCAAAGTATCTCAGACCCCCCCAAACCACCTCCTGGACCCCCAATTCCCCCCAAACCACCTCCTGGACCCCCCAATTCCCCCAAACACCCTCCTGGACCCCCCAATTCCCCCATGGTATCCCAGATCCCAAAACAATCCCCGGACTCCCTCCATCTCTCCAAATCCCCATTACAGCCCCAAAGTACCTCAGACCCTCCCCAAACACCACCTGGAGCCCCCAATCCTCCCCAAACCCTCATTACAGTCCCAAAGTACCTCAGACCCCCCAAACACCTCCTGGAGCCCCCCCCAATCCTCCCCAAACCCTCATTACAGTCCCAAAGTACCTCAGACCCCCCCAAAACACCACCTGGAGCCCCCCAATCCCCCCAAAACCCTCATTACAGCCCCCACCCCACAATCCCCCAGCCCCCACAGACACCCCCAGCCCCCCGATCCCCCCCTGTGCTCACCGCGCTGAGGCCGAGGGGTGCCACGGACGGGGCCGGGGGTCACCCCATAGAGCACCCCCGGCTCCGGCCAGCATTCCAACACCTGGGCCAGCAGGTAAGCCAGGGCACGGGGCAGGGAGAGCTGCGAGGCCATCAGGAAGGCCAGCGTGATGGCCGGGTTGACGTGACCCCCGCTGACATTGCCCAACGCCTGCACCAGGGTGGTCTGGGCCAGCCCGAAGGCCAAGGCGGCCCCCACACGCTGGGGGGGCCCGGGGCCCAGCGCAGGGAGGCCCCCAGCCCCAGCAGGGCATAGAGGAGGCTGCCCAGGAACTCGGCCAGGACGGCCCTCCAGAAGGCGGACGAGCGCAGCTCCCGCATGGCCTGGCCCCGCTGCCGCCCTCCACGGCCCCCGCTCCCCTCCCCGGGGGCCGCCCGTGCCCACCTTTTATAAGCCCCCCCCGGGCCGGCCCCGGGGGTGGGATCCCACCTACGCCACCCCCCCCCACCCCCCCCCCACACCCCCGTTAACCGATTCGCTGCCCGGGGCACGGGACAGGTGACACGCGGTGAGGAACCCCCCGGGACCCCCCTCCCCAAAGCTGCGCCGCCCCCATCCCTGGGGTTTTTTTTTGCGGGGGGGGCTGTGACCCATTGATGCCCTCAGTGGGGTTTAGGGGACCCCCCTTGCTGGGGGCCAGCACTGACACATCTCAAACCCCCCACCCCAAAATGTTTTGGGGACACTTTGGGGCAACCCCGGCTGGGAGCCGCCCCCCACCCTGAGGGAGGGGCGCTGTGGGGTGGGGGCTGTGGGGTGGGGGCTGTGGGGTGTCCCCCCCCCGGTGCTGTTGTCTGCGGGAGGGTTTATTCAGCCCGGCTTAGCGGGCGCTGAGTCCCCGAGCCGTGGGGATTAAAGCCCGGCCCGGCCATTGGCGCCCGGCGGAATCTGCCGGGGCTGCAGAGGCCACCACAAAGGGCTTTGCTGCGCTCAGCTCCCCGGCACGGGACGGGGCTGACGGGGGGTCCCGGCCCCCGCCCTCACCGGGGGGCCGCGGGGAGGGAGAACCCGCCCCGCCCGCAGCCCCCGGTGTCGCGGGGTCGCGGTGCCGCAGCCCCCGGTGTCGCGGTGCCGTGGTCGAGACCCCCTCCCCGCTCCCTTCACAGCATCGCTCCGCACCCTGAGACCCCAACGCAACTTTAATCCCCCAAAACACCTTGAAGCAAAAGGGGAGGGGGCCCGGAGCCGCCCACCCTGTGGGTGCCCCACGGATGCGGTGTCAAGGGGTGGAGGATCGGGGGGCTGCGGTGGAACGGGGGGGGCTCAGGCAGTGCCCTGCTCGGCTGGGGGGGGTGGGGGGCAGCGGGCCACCGAGGACGGGGACAGGCTGGGGGTCTCCACCAGAGCCACGTCCCGGCAGGCGAGGCAGGCGCTGAGCTTCTCCCGGGAGGCTCCGGGTGCCAGGATGAACTCGTAGGAGAGCCCGGCCAGCACCGCGCCCAGCACCGGCCCCAGCCAGTACACCTGGAGGGGGACAGAGAGCTGGTGGGGTCCCAGGGACGGGGGGGACAGGGGACCCCACCCCAGGGATGGGGATGGAGCAGAGGAACCTGCCCCAGGGATGAGGGCAGCAGTGGGGAGGGGATGTGGCTTGTCCCAAGGATGGCAATAGGGGGGACACAGCGGTCCTGTGATGGTGACACCACGAGGACCCTTGGGGACACCGTGAGGACCCTCGGGGTCATGGCTGGTGCTGACCTGTCCCAGGGGGACCCAGGGAAGGGAAGGGAAGGGAAGGGAAGGGAAGGGAAGGGAAGGGAAGGGAAGGGAAGGGAAGGGAAGGAAGGGAAGGGAAGGGAAGGAAGGGAAGGGAAGGGAAGGGAAGGGAAGACCAGGAACCGCCATCCTGGGGTGGGGATGGGACCACAGCGGTCACACACTGTAGCTGGAGACCCCCCTCTTACGTGGGGACTCTGGGGGAGCCCCAGGGTGCTCCTAACTCACCCAATGATGATCCCAGAGCCCGGTGACGATGGCCGGCACCCAGCGAGCTGCGCGGGGGTTCATGCTGCCCCCCCGAGAACGGCCCCTGTGGGTGACGGGAGGGGGGTCAGGGGCTGGTGGGGTGGGGACCCCCTGGGCAGGTGGGACACGGGGGGGGTCCTTACTGCGGCCAGGGCACCGGCGGCCACGGCGCTGCCCAGGGCCAGCCCAGCCTGTGGGGCTGCGTGTTCAGAGGTGGCAAAGGCAGCCAGTGCCAGCTGGAAGGTGGCAAAGGTCTCCCCTGCCAGCGCTGTCCCCGCCGTCCCCGCCGCGCTCACCTGCAGAAGGGAGGGACACCTGTCCAACCTGTCCAGGACCAGGGGATGGGCACAAAGATGGGGGCACTCACCCTGGTGACGAGCTCCAGGTGTCGTCCTGCAGCGCTGCACGGGCAGCAGCAGAGGCCAGCGTGGCCCCCGTGCACTGGGCCAGGAGCCCCAGGGCCCCGTGCAGGGCGCTCAGCTTGCGGGGTGCACAGCAGGGCCAGCGTCAATGCAGGGTTGGCCTGGGGACCCCCGAGGGTGCAGACGAGCCCCCGGCCACCAACCCCCCTGCCAGGGCTGGTGCCAGGGTCCCGGGGATGCTGAAGCCCCCAGGACCACCCCCACGAAGATGAGGGTGGCCAGCAGCTCTGCCAGCACCCCCCGCCAGAAGCGGCCGCTGCGCAGCTCCTGGGGGGACAGTGGGGTCGGGGGTCACCCCATGGGCACTGCCAGGAGGGGGGTGGCACAAAGGGGGGATGGCAGGGGGGCAGGGGGGTTTGGGGATGGGGTATTTTGGGGTGGGGGTGCCATGGCAACAGGATGCCTCGGTGGTTGGGTACCAGGGTGATGGGGGGAGTTTTGTGAGGGGACCCCCCAACACCTGGGTACCACAGTGGGGGTGGTCCCTCGGTGATGGGGTGCCCTGGCAATGGAGTGCCCCAGTTTTTGGGATGGGGGTACCTCAGATATGGGGTACCTTGGGGATGGGACCCTCAGCACCTGGGCACCATAGTGGGGGACACTGGGGCAATGGGGTTATAATGGAAACAGGATGCCCAGTTTTTGGGTACCCATGGGGATGGGACCCCTCAGCACCTGGGCACTGAGGTGACAGGATGTCCTGGCAATGGGGTCACTGGGATGAACGGGCGACAGCAGCCACAACAAGACCAGGGGTCACAGTGAGGGACTCCCCTGTGCCAGAGCTACGAGCTGGGCACTGAAGTGACAGATTTGGGGGGTCCCCATGAGTTAGGGGCTGCTCACCCACCCCCCCCGGCAGGAGGGACTCTGGGGCTGTGGTTTTGGGGAGGGGGCTGGGGGGTCAGGGCCGCTCGCAGGGTCTTACCTCCCCGATGGCATGGTGCAGCTGGCACTGCCACCCCTGTCACCCCCCTGTTGTCCTGGCACACCCCAGCAGTGCCACCCCCTTGGCACAGGGCAGCCCTGAGGTGCTGAGGGTGGGGCAGGATTTTGGGGAGGGGGCTACGGGGGGGGGGTCCTTGGAGCATCCCTGGGTGCCATGGCAACCCCCGGGACCCTTTGGGGTGTTGCCAGGACAACCAGAGATGAAAGGCTGGGATGAAAGGCCAGGGGGGATGAGGGGGGGGGGGGGGGTGTCACACATCTGGGATGAGAGTGGGGACAGGGCTGTCCTGGCAGGGCGACCAGGATGGGTCACACATCTGGAACAAGAATTGGGGACAGGGGGGAGTGTCACACATCTGCCACTGTTCAGGGACAGGGGTGTCCTGGGGGTGTCACACACCTGGGACAATTCATGGTATCCCGGGGTGGGGGTCACACAGTTGCCACAAACTGGGGGACAATGGTGTCCCAGGGGTGTCACACACCCGGACAAGCCCGGAGGCCGGGTCTGACCCCACCGTGGGTGCGGTGGGAGGGATCCGGGGCCGGAGAGGGTTGGGGAGGCCCAGCCCCGGTGCCCCCCCCGGGCCGTGGCTCTGCCGGCTCAGCAGCGGCCCCGCACGTGGGGTGAGTCAGGCGGGCGAAGCCCTGGCTCAGCACGGGGGGGCCCCGGCGCTGCTGAGCCCGGCAAAGCCAGAACAATCCACGGCACAAAGGGCTGGGACAGCGCCGGGACACGCGGGGGGACACCGGGGGGACAGCCCTGGGGGGGATGTGGGGGGTGTTTTGGGGGAATACAGGGGAATATGGGGGGGACACCGGGGGGACAGCCCTGGGGGGATGTAGGGCGGAATATGGGGGGATATGTGGGGGGAGTATGGGGGGATATGTGGGGAACACTGGGGAACAGCACTGGTGGGGGGGTTTAGGGGGAATATGGGAGGGGACATGCAGGGGGACAGCCCTGGGGGGGTTTATAGGAGGGGAATATGTGGGGGATACTGGTGGGATAGCCCTGGGGATGTGGGGGGTTTTGGGGAAATATGGGGGGATATGTGGGGGACACACAGGGGGATATGAGGGGGGACAATGGGGAGATGTGGGGGGGAACAGCTGGAGGACATGTGGGGAACACCCTGTGGGGACAATTTGGGGATGCTGTGGTGACACAATGTGGTGGCACATGTGGCCAGTCACGGGGGGGGGACACAGAGACGGGGACATTTGGGGGGACACCGAGCAGGACAAGGAGATGGAGGGGGTCCCCAGGACCCTGTGCCCTCCATTGTGCCCCTGGGGTTCTGTGTCACCCCACAGACCTTCTGGGACCACCAGAGGTGTCCCAAGACCTCCCCATCTTGTCTTGTAGACCCCCCCCAGGTGCCCTGTGACCCCCCCAACCCTGCCCTACAGACTCTTCAGCTGCCCCACAAGCCCCCCCAGTACTCCCAGGCCTGTTCTACAGCTCAGGTGCCCCCAAGATGCCCCTCCAGGTGTCCTATGACCCCCCCAATCCTGCCCATAGACCACCTCAGGAGGCCCCAGCACCCCCAGTCCTACCCTATAGAGCCCAAAATGCCACAACCTGCCACAAAGACCCCCCTCAGGATCCTCTACAAACACTCAGGTACCTTCAGATGCCCCCAGGATGCCCCAGAGACCCCCCGCTGCCCCTGGAATCCTCCCATCCTACTCTACACAACCCCCTGCACCCCTCAATCCTGCCCTGCAGACATCCAGAACCTGCCAGAAACCCCAATCTCGCCCCCTAGACCCTCAAGACGCCCCCACAGACCCCTCAGGTGCTCTCCAGACCCCTCAGGTGCCCCCCAAATTCCGCCTTTCCCCACTCCAAGATGGCGGCCCCCATCGCCGCCTCAGAAATGGGCGTGGCCTAGCTCCGTCACGTGACGGAGGAAAGGCGCCAATATGGCGGCGGGCGGGGTGTGGTGACCAACCACGTGATCAGTGCCTCCAAAATGGCCGCGCCCACGGTGAAGGCGGGGAGGCGGGGCCAAGGGGGTAATGGCGGCGGTGGGCGGGGCTTCTCTTAAAGGGACCGCACCGTACCGGGCTGGGGGGGGGTCCGTGACGTCCCCCCGGCGCGGGGGGGGGGGGCTCGGGGGGTGCAGCCCCTCCGGGGATTCGTGAGAGGGACCCCCCCCCTTTCCCGGTTGAGGCCGCTGCGGGAGGGAGAGGTGCGGGATCCCCCTGCCGTGTCCCCCGGTGTCCTCCCGGTGTTCCCCCGGTGTCCCCCCCGTGTCCCGGGCGGTCTTGGGGGGGGGGTGTCTCATTTGGAGGGGGGGTTCGTGGCTGTCGTGGGGCTGACGGGGGTCACTGAGGGGGGGACAGGCGGCACCGAGGGTGACACCGGGGTGCGGCGAGGGGCAGCACTGGGGGGGTGACGGGGAACACCGGAGGAGAACGGGCAGGACCGGGGGGTCACGGGTGGGACCGGGGAGTGACACCGGGAGAGGACGGGAGGCACCGGGGGGTGACGGGCGGCACCGGGGGTGACACCGGGGGGTAAACGGGCAGCACCGGGGGGTAACGGGGACCACCGGGGGAGGACGGGCAGGACTGGGGTGTGACACCGAAGGAGCACGGGCAGCACCGGGGTGTGCCGGGGACCACCGGAGGAGCCCGGGCAGCACCGGGCGGGGAGCGGCGCTAGGACCCGGCGCGGCGGGGCCCGCCCGGATTCCAGGCTGGCTCCCGGTGTGACGTCACGCCCGGTCCCGGCCCCTCGCGCTCGGAAAATGCTGCTCTCGGTGCGCCGCGCTCGGGGCTCCCCGCCTTCGCCTACAACAAGGGCGGCAAGAAGGTACCGGGAGGGCGGCGGGACCCGGTGGGCCCGATCCGGTCCGGTCCGGTGTGGGGCGGGGGGGGGGATCCGTGGGGGCGGATCCGGGGCCGTCCCGGCGGGACAGGCCCGGGAGGGGGGGGAGGGGGGGGCGGGGAATGGGGGGTGCTGGGAAAGGGGGGGACACCCCCACCGAGTCACCCCCCCAACACCGGGAACGGAGCGGGGACACCCACCCCCCCCCCCCCCCGGTGAGCTCCGGTTTTCCCGGGGGTGCGCCGCTATCCCCCCGCCCACCCCCCCCGGTTCGTGCCTCAGTTTCCCTCCGCATCCCGTGATGGAAGGAGGGGGGGGGGGTCACCCCCATTGCCGCCTCCTCCCAATACCGGGGACACCGGGGCGGATTTGGGGGGGTCGGGGACACCGGGAGAGGGGGGGAGGGGAAGGTGGGGACCCCCTGAGTTGGGGGATGGGCGAGAGGGGGATGGGGACCCTTTGAGGGAGGGGGAAAGAGGGGTTTGGGTTTGGGGGTCCTGGGGGAGATAATGGGGTCGGGGAAAGATAATAGGGGTGCGGGGAGGAGATAAAGGGGTCGGGGGGAGATAAAGGGGTCGGGGGAAATGATGGGGTTGGGGGGAAATGATGGGGTCGGGGGGGAGATAATGGGGTTGCAGGGGGGAGATAATGGGGCTGGGGGGAAATTTATGGGGTTCAGAGGAGGAATCCAGGGCTCCTTCTCTCCAGGGAGGATTTTGGGGTTGGGAGGAAATGATGGGATCCAGGGGGGGAGATAATGGGGCTGGGGAGAAGTTATGGGGTCCAGGGGGGAGATAATGGGTTCAGGGGAGATAATGAGGTTGGGGGGAAATTTTGGGGTCCAGGGTAAGATAATGGGTGCAGGGGTGAGATAATGAGGTCAGGGGGAGATAATTAGGTTCATGGTGAGATAATGGGGTCGGGGGGAGATAATGGGGTTGAGGGGAAATTTTGGGGTCCAGGGGTTCTTCTCTCCAGGGGTGAGATTTTGGGGTCGGGGGGAAATGATGGAGTCGGGGGGAAATGATGGGGTCCAGGGTGAGATAACGGGGTGCAGGGGTGAGATAATGGGGTCAGGGGAGATAATGGGGTCCAGGGGGACATAATGGGGTCAGGGGAAATTATGGGGTCCAGGGCTCCTTCTCTTCAAGGGGGAGACCCTGGGGTCCAGGGTGAGCCCCCCAGGATGGGCTGAGCCCCTCTTGGGGTGTCTCAGGCAGTCCCTCCTTGAGGGGGGGGGAGGATTTTGGATTTTGGATTTTGGGGGGCTGCAGCAGAGCTGACCCCCCTACCCCCCCCTCCAGCAGCCCTATGTGCCCCCGGCCCAGCCCCTGGGCCCCCCCAGCCCCAGCCCAGCCGGGGGGGCCCCGGACCAGCTCAGCAAGACCAACCTCTACATCCGGGGGCTGCACCCCGGCACCACCGACCAGGACCTGGTCAAGCTCTGCCAGCCGTGAGTGGGGCGGGGGTCCCGCTGTGTCCCCCCCACCCCAGAACCCCTCGGGAAGGGTGGGGGGGCGCTGGGGGTCCCCCTGAATCCTGACACCCCCCTTTTCCCCCCCCAAACCCAGCTATGGGAAGATCGTCTCCACCAAAGCCATCCTGGATAAAACAACCAACAAGTGCAAAGGTTTGGGGGGACAGTGGGGTTAGGGTGGGGGGGGTTTGTTTATTTTTGGTGGGGGGGGTCTCTCTGAGCTCTCCTCCTCCCTCCCAGGTTATGGTTTCGTGGACTTTGACAGCCCCACGGCCGCCCAAAAAGCCGTGACAGCCCTGAAGGCCAGCGGGGTGCAGGCACAGATGGCCAAGGTACCAAACCCCCCCACCGACCCCCAGAAACCCCCCCGGGACCCCTCCAGGAGCCCCCTCCCCTGGGCTGACCCCTCCCCACAGCAACAGGAGCAGGACCCCACCAACCTGTACATCTCGAACCTGCCGCTGGGCGTGGACGAGCAGGAGCTGGAGGCGCTGCTGAAGCCCTTCGGGCAGGTGGTCTCCACCCGCATCCTGCGCGACCCCACGGCGCCAGCAGGGGCGTGGGATTCGCACGGTACGGGGCGGGAGGGGGGGGACGGGAGGGGGCGACCACCGGGAGGGAGGGTTGGTGCTGCTGGGGGGGCTGCACACAGCTGGGGGGGGTGCGGGGGTGTGGGGCTGGGGGGGGTGAAGATCATGGGGAGAGCTGGGGAGACAGGGATTTGGGGGGCTGCACAGATCTGGGGGGCTGTAAGGGATGGGGGGGCTCAGGATGATGGGGAGGGCTGGGGGGACAGGGATGTGGGGGGGCTGCACAGATCTGGGGGGCTGCACGGGATGGGGGGGCTCGGGATGATGGGGAGGGCTGAGGGGACCCATGGGGCTGGGGGGACCCATGGGGCTGAGGGGACAGGGATCTGGGGGGGCTTGCACAGATCTGGGGGGCTGTAGGAGATGGGGGGCTCAGGATGGTGGGGAGGGCTGGGGGAAGAGGGATTTGGGGGGGCTGCACAGATCTGGGGGGGCTCAGGAGGATGGGGAGGGCTGGGGGGACCCATGGGGCTGGGGGGACAGGGATTTGGGGGACTGCACAGATCTGGGGGCTGCACGGGATGGGGGGGCTCAGGAGGATGGGGAGGGCTGGGGGGGACAGGGATTGGGGGGGCTTCCAGAGCTGGGGGGGCTGCAGGAGGTTTGGGGGTACATGGGGCTGGGGTGGGGCAGTGAGGATGATGGGGAGGTGAGGAACTTGGGGGCTGCACACAGCTGGGGGGGGCTGCAGAGATTTGGGGGGGCTGCAGGAGGTTTGGGGGTGTGTGGGGCTGGGGGGGGACCTCAGGAGGATGGGGAGGGCTGGGGGGACCCATGGGCTGGGGGGACAGGGATTTGGGGGGCTGCACAGATCTGGGGGGCTGCACGGGATGGGGGGAGGCTCAGGATGATGGGGAGGGATGGGGGGACAGGGATTTGGGGGGGCACACAGGGCTTGGGGTGGCACACAGAAGGGGGGGGGCACAGAGATTTGGGGGGGTTGCAAGGAGCTGGGAGGAACACAGAGATTTGGGGGAGCACACAGAGCTGGGGGGGCCACACTCAGAACTGGGGGGGCACACTCAGAACTGGGGGGGTCACACAGAAGTGGGGGGCACACACAGAATTGGGGGGGCTGCACGGGGTATTGGGGGGGGCACACACAGAACTGGGGGGCCCCCCCTGGCCCCCCGGCCCAGCCCCGCTCCCCCCAGGATGGAATCCACGGAGAAATGCGAGGCCGTCATCACCCACTTCAACGGGAAATTCATCAAAACCCCCCCGGGGGTGCCAGGTGGGGCTGGGGGGGACCCAGGAGGGGAATTTGGGGGGGCTGGGGGGGGGGCGGAGAAGGGATTTGGAGATTTTCGGGGTGCTGGGGGGGGATCAGGGAGGGAATTTTTGGGATTTTAGGGATTTTGAGGGGGGTGGGGAGGGGAATTTGGGGATTTTGGGGGTGCTGGGAGGGGTTAGGGAGGGGATTTGGGGGTTCAGGGAGGGGATTTTGGGGGTGCTGGGAGGGGAATTGGGGGATTTTGGGGGTGCTGGGGGAGGTCCAGGGAGGGGAATTTGGGGATTTGGGGGGTCAGGGAGGGGATTTTGGGGATTTTAGGGATTTTGAGGGTGCTGGAAGGGGAATTTGGGGATTTTGGGGGTTTGGGGGGTCAGGGAGGAGATTTTGGGGATTTTAGGGCTATTGAGGGTGGTGGGAGGGGAATTTGGGGATTTTGGGGGTGCTGGGCGGGGAAGGGATTTGGGGGGAGGGGATTTGGGGGGTCAGGGAGGGGATTTTGGAGATTTTAGGGATTTTGAGGGTGCTGGAAGGGGAATTTGGGGATTTTGGGGGTTTGGGGGGTCAGGGAGGGGATTTTGGGGATTTTGGGGGAGATTCTGAGGGTGCTGGGAGGGGAATTTGGGGATTTTGGGGGGTCAGGAGGGATTTTGGGGATTTTAGGGATTCTGAGGGTGCTGGGAGGGGGCGGGAGGGGAGTTTGGGGATTTTTGGGGGTTTGGGGGGGTCAGGGAGGGGATTTGGGGTATTTGGGGGTTCAGGGAGGGGATTTTGGGGGTGCTGGGGCTGGCTGGCAGCACTGACACCCCCTCCCCAGCCCCCCCAGACCCCCTCCTCTGTAAGTTTGCTGATGGGGGGCAGAAGAAGAGGCAGAGCCAGGGCAAGTTCGTGTCCAACGGCAGAGCCTGGGCCCGGGACGGCGACACGGTGAGGGGGGCACAGGGGGCTGGGGGGGTTTAAAAATAAATTTTATAATTTGTTATGAGTTTTGTTAAAAAATTAAGTGTTTAGAATGAATTAAAAAAAAAATACTTTGCAATTTGTATATTGCTGAGAGAGCTGACAAAGCCACTATATATAATATGTATATGTAATATATGTAACATATATATATATGAAATATATATATAATATATACTTATATATTATATATATAATAGTATACACAATACATATATTATATATATTACATTAAAATATAAAAATTCAAGTACTTTTATTTTCTAGTATATTTCTAATTTTATTTTCTAATACATTTTCTATTCCAATATATTCTCATATATAATCTATTTAAATTTATGTATTTATATTTACATAAATATATATTTATTATTTATGCAAATAAACATAATATATATGTAAAGGATAAATATATTTTAAAATAAATATAAAAATATATTTATTAATAAATATAAAGAAATATATAGTATGTATTAATGTATTAATTAAATTTATAGAGTACAAATTTATAGAATAATAATTCATATAAACAAAAGACATATATTTGTGAATAAAAATAAATGTATATAACTATAAATATAACTATAACTAAATATTTATTTATGACCCTTTCCCCCCCCACAATATATTCTATTTTCTATTTATATTTATGTAAATGTATATTTATTTATTATTTATGCAAATAAATATATAAGTAATGAGGATATAAAGAAATAGAAATATACATTAGGAAATAAATATATAAATAATGAGTATATAAAGAAATAGAAATATACGTTTGCAAAGAAATATATAAATAATGAGTATATAAAGAAATAGAAATATACATTTGCAAACAAATATATAAATAATGAGAATATAAAGAAATAGAAATATTCATTAGGAAATAAATATATAAATAATGAGTATATAAAGAAATAGAAATATACATTTGCAAACAAATATATAAATAATGAGAATATAAAGA